CAAAATTTTCGAATGGCATCGAGGGAAGGTCTCCGCCCCGAAAAACGACCAACCAACGAGAATTCGAAAGGTTTCGCAAGCGCCCTAACCTCTTCCTCATAAATTAATAACGCCGACAAGCCACGATGAGAAGTAAAACTCAGTTCAGGGAAAGAAGAGGAAGAAATACCAGAAACTGCATCTCTAAAAGAAATAGGAGACGCATTCCCGCTCAGGAAACCAGGATCAGAAAGCCGTGAAGACGCCATACACAATAGGCGAAAAGATGAGAAGGAAGCTTTCACCAAACGAAGGAGACGAAAAAACGGCGGAGGCGTCGTAACCCTAGCAGAGCCATTATATATATATATATATATATATAATCTTATATGCTATGTTAACATATTTATATTATGGATCTTAATTAAGCTTCATATATATTTAGGGTAATATTTTTTTTGCAATAACAAATTTAATATATTTTTAAATTATAAAATTTAAAAGTATATTTTATGTGACATATTAAAGTAATATACATAAGAGAAGTGTAATTTGTATGAATATGATGACTATTATAATATTTATATGAAATGTAATGATGTAAATATTATAAAAAATATGTCAATTTCAGAGTGTGAAAAATATTTAGTATCTTATAAATAAAAAAATGGTATTTCCACAAAAGAAGAAATGCCTCTTCCACCCTTAAGTAGATACTATTTCCGTTAACAGATCAATTTAGGAGAAAGGCCCAATAGTTTAATAATGATGAACGGCCCATATCAGTAAGCAAACATTTGGGCTTTTAGAGGGGGGAAAAAATTACGATTTATGACGTGAAAATAAACGGGGATTGATTAAATTCATATTATTGGATTGGTTTGAGGTAAAAGGACTATAAAGTATTTTAAATGTAAGAGTTCTAAAAGTAATGATGTTTGAATTGAAGCAAAAGAAATGTAAAGCAAAAATTTTTAGTGCTTAGAATTCACTATAAAGTGTGGTTTTGATGGACTTGAAAATAATTAGATTTAATTGAAATATACTATAAATTATTTGTTATTGCTACTGTAACTCACCACTCTCCACTATCAATTCAAGGCATCGTCAACCCCCGTAGCTGACTGCCGATCGTTGCCGACTACTACAACTACCATAACATTCCCTCCCAAACTGACCCCTCGCCGATTGTCACGGGCAGCCACTCTGTACCAAAATGATGCCACCACTATAGCCCACAAATCACTGTCACTCGTTAGTCATTGGCCACCATTATTATTGAGCTTTACATTACTTTTTTAGCATTGTATTCTTTTTTATTCTATATATTCTTTTTATTCAACCAAACAATCCCGACATATTCTGGAAATAAAAGCAAAAAATTTGAGTTTATCTTAGATTTCCTTATTAAGTTTTTATTTACGGTTCGTGTACTGAACCATTTTATAAACAAGCTAAAGATTTTTTGTTTTGTTTTGAGAATTTAGGTCATTTAAGACAGAATCGTACACATCACATACACAAGACTCGAATTCAAGACGTCTTAGTTAATAGTTACTAATAGACCAGGCTGAGTTGTGTGAAGCAAAAGGTTTTGATCTTAAATTTAAGCGTAAGCCGGATGGGCCAAATAGTGGCTCTTTTATGGGCTTTAGTGCCAACGGTAATGTTTCTCTATACTCAAGAGTGGGCCGAATAGTCCATGCAATAGCACTTTTATGGGCTTTAGTGCAAGTGCTATTTTCTCTATACCATTGTTGTTGTATTTATTTTGTTTATTTTTTATTTTAATATATAGTAATATGATTAAATTTATTTATTTATTTGTTTTATGATTATCAAAACTATGCACGAACAATTAAAATCTTCTAAAATTATCTGATTAGTGATCATTTCCATTGAAATTCTTTCTGACTCTTGAATATTGAAATGATAATTATAATTTTAACATATGAAGAGATTCAAATATTTGGGATTAAATGTAAAT